TGGAGGGAGGAGGGAGGGAGGGAGGGAGGGAGGAGGGAGGGAGGGATGGAGGATACTGATACTGATAATGTCTGTTCACTAAGGGAACACGCACATGCCTTACCCAAGGGGGACAAGGGGGAAGGGATCAGAATCGGGCTCCTGTCGAGCCTTCATTTTGGCGCAGCCCTGGTCTCGGGCCTTTGGCCACGGTCGATCCTCTTTAAATACTCCTCCGCAGTGGGGGTGGCCTTCAAAGAACATGACTTACGAAGCTTAAGGTTCTGCTGGCTAGCGAATGCACCACAGCTAACACAGAACCGCCGACCCAACTTCGTACTTAACTTCATGCAGTGCGACTCATGCACCCAGTCCCCAGCAACATGGAGTTCCCCTCCAGGCGGCACCGTGTAAAACTCCCCGTTCATATTCTGGGGCAAAAGCAGGGGATCCTTTTTCCAATCCTCGAGCGTGGCCCAGGACGCTGGCCCCAAACATTGCTTGCATCTGCGCTCACTGTCGTCCAACACGTGGGAGGTCCCAAGGGTCGAACCGATACTGGGCGCTGCGGTGGCACACGAAGAGGAGGAGGAGGGGGAGGGGGAGGGGAAGGGGGAGGAGGAGGAGGAGGAGGAGGAGGAGGAGGAGGAGGAGGAGGAGGAGGCGGAGGAGGATGAGGAGGAGGAGGAGACTCACTATCCTGCCGCCTGTCCCTCTGCTGCTCCTCCGCTCGCTGTGCCGCCTCCTGCTTGGCCCTGGCGGTCAGAGCCATTAAGGTCGCCAAGACAGCCCTGTGGCGCTCGAGGTAGGCCTGGTGCTCGATCTTCTGCAAAGCGTGACGATCCGTTGCAGAGATCCTGATACGCTCGGCCTTGTTGCCAACAAGCTCATCAATACCAGCATTGCCAATGACCTTCCATCTAGGGGCAGCGCCCTGAACGATATCATCTGCAGGCACATGTGAATGAATGAAATCAACTGTCACAGTACTCTCGTCACGCTGGCTCATCCGGATTTCAATACGAGCCCATTGATCCGCATCGTGCCCACTAGGGTGTAGATATCTCCTGGCCAGCCATCCTTTGTACACTGGTTCACAACCCGTGATCTAATGACGTGGTCCTTGGACCGTCCAAAGAGCCAACCAAAACGCGCGAAGTTCGCCTCGCGGAATTGCCTGTCGGAAACCCGCCAGCCCTCCAGTGACATAAGATGAGACACTTGGCGGATCGTCGGAATTCAGGGTGGTGATACCGAGAGCTACCTTCCGAAGTCTGGGATCAGCAGTGTCGGCACCTCCAGTGGCATCGCTGAACACCACCGTGACCTCGTCGAGACTCCCAAGACAACCCTGGCCCAGACCCGACTCACAAAGGCCGAAACATTCTCAATCGTCCTGCAGGATGGGATCGGGCATCTTCGTCCACAGGCTCGGGATGATCCCTCTGAGTCAGAAGCACTCAACTTGAGCGTCTTGGGCGACAGCCGCAGGAATAAGATGATCACTGGCGGTGAAAATTGGTGAGCCAGTGTTGCATCGGGAATTCCAAATACGATGTGGGGGACCTTCTTCAGCTTCGCCACAACGAGGACACAGGAGACTTGCCGACACATCGACACTCCCCTTCCGCTTGCGAGTCCATGTGCCACCGCCAGCAATCATGAGTAGCATACCCGCAGTACCTGCTCCACCTGCCTTGACCGAGCGAATCTGGTCCAACAGTCTCCTCAAAGTGAAATTACCTGCGCCCTGCTGAAGTCCCTCACCATCGAAATGCTTGGGCAGCACTAGCCCAATGAGAAGCCATAGCTGCCTTATCAACATCTCGCAGGAATTCATCGGAACGGTCAATATGTCGGTTGCCAGAACAACCCTCATCAGGAAAAAAACAGTCATGATCAGACATGGGTAGTGCCCAATCAGTGGGACCTCTGAGCTGCCATCCGAAAGACAAAACATACGTGATAGTGGCCGTCATGGGCCTTCGGATATGGCGAGGGCGACGGCCTTGCTCCATGGGTTCCAAGAGACTGACTGCCTTGAGCCATGCCTGTACCGCAACGGGCCGTAGACTGGGGTGATCACGCCACTGCTGTAACCACAGAGCAAAGGTACCATGCGCCATACTTATCGCATGATCCTTGCCAGGAAGCACGATGTCCAGAAGGGTAGTCGAACGCCTCCCTTTAGTGCCAATCATGTAAGCAGCCCCCAACTTCCGACGATGTGTAGTGAGATGTTGACCCAAAACACAGTGAAACTGAAACCCATGACTACCAACTGCCCGTCCACCCTGGGTCTCAAGGCGAGCTGACAACTTGGCCTTGTGCAGTGTGTATTCGAAGCGCCTGACTTTGCCGTGGCGAGCCGCAGGCAGGGACGGGCATCAGTAATCTGCATTCCTCTGTCTCTGAGCGCGCGAGCGATCCTCTGTGCGGATGGAAACCTGCTGCAGGTGACGACCGACTTGCCGGCAATGCGAAGATCCTGCTCGGTCAACGCCTTGGCGGTGCCGACCACGCACGCCGCCGCGTCGTGCTGGAGCTGACGTTGTGATCCTTTCACTTCCAAAGCTGATCCTTATTTTCCCGAGCCTTGCTCCAGACACGCTCGAGCATGGCTATGAGGCCAATGATGCGGTCTCCCGAAGCTTAATCTGGGAGAAATTTGCCGATGACCAGGGGAACTTGGGCGGGCCGCGCAAGGGGGGTCTCGACGCCGTTGAGGAGACCCACCAAACGCTGGGGCCCACTGCCGGGGGGGCCGTTCGAGATCTCCTGGAGTGGTCCTATCCGCGCCGAGGCCCGTGCGACTCTTCACGCCCCGAAGTGCCACTCGTAGATTATGCGCAGATAGAGGAGGAAGGGGGCCAGGATTGATGCGGACAGCTTCGCGAACGACCCCCAGAACAGCGCCGAGAGCAGCCTCGGGGTCAGGCTGCCCAGGGCCCCAGAAGGCCTTCCACTTCCTGGCCTCGTGGTCAACGATGTTCCTGGGGTGGTAGAGGACTTCCCCTTGGCCCCCGATCGACTCCAGGGGCGGCATCGGCTCCTGGCGCGCGGCGCGGCGCAAGATGCTGAGTGCCTCCGCCGAGGAGGCCCGTTCGCGATGCTCCTTGAGCGAAGACGCCGTCGCTATGTTCTGACTGCGTCGTGCCAACCTGCCAGATAACGCGGCATGCCCCTCGTGGCGAGGGCGGGGGGGGGGGGCGCGCGCATCGCTTGGGGCCGGCGTCCATTCCGACCAACTCTTCTCGAGGCCCTCTCGAAGTACCGAATGGGCCTGATCAGGCTGGTCTTCGAGAAGATTAGCGCAGCCAGTCTCAAGGCGACGCTGCTGTGACGACCCGTTGCCTCTCGCGCGATGCTCCGATGAACTGGCGGGGGCAGTGCGCAGTCGTGACCACCACTTGGCAACTGCATCTCGAAGTGGAGCTTCTGTATCTTTCTGGCTAGCATGTACTTCCTGGACCGCGAAGGAAGGGGCCTCAGCCCGAGACTGACCCTGAACCCGCCTTTCTCCATGGTGTTCCGTGATGGTGCCCTCGAGAGCCTTGGCCCACGACGCGCGGGGCCCACTGGCGATGTTGCGACCCTCGGGGTCGACCTGGTACACGGGGGGCTCCGGGATGTGCGAGGGAGGGGAGGAGGAGGAAGGAGGAGAAAAACACACACGCGCACAGAGGCCCGCTGAGCCTCCCACAGCTCAGAAGGCATGCAGTGAGTGGGCTCAGCATTTCTACTTACTGGGCTGGCTGACCGGGGCGAATCATGGACCTGCCTCCGTCGTTCCAGTGGGCTCCAGAGGCCCAGAGACAAACCCAGAGGCAGACCCAGAGGCAGGCCCCGAGCCCAACGGAGCCCCGCCATCACCAGAAACCACCAAGGGAGCCCCAGGGCCCAAGGGCGAAGCAGACCCGACGACCCAACCAGAGCCTCGCTACTGGAACTAAGTCCTGTGACAGAATCAACAGCATTCGCCCTTCTCAGCCCAGCGGCATTGCCCGTGGGGGCAGAAAAATATACCCGTCGGCCCACGGGCCTCCTCAGAAAAACACGACCAGGAATCGAAACGCCCTTCAAAGTCGGTGGGGATCCCATCGGCGACATCTCTGGAAGCAGCGGGTTGAAGTTTCAGATCCTCCATACAGGGCCCGAACAATTGACTATTCTGTTCCCCTCTTTTCTCGGCGCCGCCTCTCTGGCAAGGTTCAATTCTGCCCGAGCCTGGCTGGACTTGGAGCCTGGTGCCGGCTCTGTCATAGGCCGCCCTCGTTGAGGAAGCCTCTGTGCCAAAGTCAGAGTGCGTGTCAAGAGTTGGCTGCCAGACTGACACATGCGAACCTCGATGCCAACGTGAGTCTTCCAGGGTACTGTGAGGGCGGCAGTGGGCTCCACTATGTGCGCCAGCGCCGCTGCGCTGCATGAGATATAGTCAAGCATGCTGCCTTCCTTCCCCGCGTTGCAAGTGCACTGGGCGGGCGGAGTCAGGGTGTGGCCCCCGACCCGGGAGGCAAATGGTGAGATCTTCAAGGCTGATGTCGGCACGTTGGAGTGGGCATGCCCAGCCATGTGCACAAGTGTAGCCACCATGCCGTCGAGCGCAGCCGTCTCTCCAGCGCGGACGATGCCGTTGCTGCCGACGTGCGGGAAGCTGCGGACTTGAAGGTGACCATGGTTGACAATCCATTCGCCTCCCTCATTGGCTCGAGCTTGTTGGTTGCCCTGGAGAGCCTGGTCCCGATGCTGCTCGCGGGCTGGGTTAGAGAAGAGCCGCGTGCCTGATGCCCTCGCCTACTGATCCCACTTGCGCAGCCCGGCGCGTGCCGCGTGGGCCGCGGCAAAGGTGGCTACATGATTGGTAGATTTTCGAGAGGGAGAGATATTTGTTCCATATGCGCTCACTCATGCTGGTGACACTACTAAACAACAGTGCAGCGTGCGGCTCCCCTTTCGGTCTCAGTAGTGGATCCCTGTCCCGCTGAAGAAATCGTCGCAGTCGTCGCGCCGTGACCACTCGCCGCGGTGCATGAAGCCCCATCGGGTGCCAAGGTCTTCACTAGAAGATACTGAAGCCACCCGACTGCAGGAGGAGGCGCTGGGGGTAGAGGCGGACGTAGGGAAACGTGGTGAGTCTTGAGGAAGCGGCTCGATGGGGACCCTCGATGATTCGCGCTGACTCGAGGGCCCCGCCGCCATTCATCAATGAGAAGTAGCGTCTGCACCGTAGCCCTTGCCCTTGGCCTTGGCGGCGCCAGGGGCTGCGCCTTCGCTGTTGGGGTTTGGCGCTGCCGCTGGTCTGGCCCTGGTTCCGAGGCTGAGGCCGGGCTGCCGCTGAGGACTGAGCTGCCGCCCGCGCCGCTGCCGCCGCGAACTTGGCCTGAGAGAGCCTAGTGGCCTCAGCCTCGGTTGTCTCGTCCACAGCGCCACCAGTCTGCGGGGCTGAGGCAGCCTGGCCAGGCGCTGCGGCTGCCTCCCTGGCGGCAGGGGCGGCCGCGGGGGGGGGGGGGGGGGCGCGTCTGCCGGGGCCGCGGCGGCAGCCGCGGCAGCTGCCGCCTGGCTGGCTGGTGGCACCTCCTGAGCTGCGCCCTCGTCCGCTGCCTCGCACTTCTCCCTGCGCTCCTCATCTGCCTGGCGTGCCGCCGCCGCCTCGAACGACCACCTGCGGACCTCGGCCTCGCGAGCGGTGGGGTTCTGCCGCGCCTCCCGCAACTATCGCTCGAGCCCCGCCATGCTCGTGCGCTCATGCCCCTCGAGCTCCTCGGAGTCAGCGAAGCTGCTCTCGTCCCAACTGGGGCTGAGGATCGTGCCGTCGCCCCTGGAGCTGGTGGAGGACTCGACGCCGATGCCCTCGGCCTCGGCCAGGCGTCGGGCCGCCTCCCGCTTGGCCGCGGTGGCGGCCGCGAGAGCGGCCGCAGCCGCCTGCTCCTTGGCCTCGGCCGCGGCGACCGCCGTCCTGACGCGCATGATTGCGCTCGCGGCCTGGGAGTGCTTGGTGCCCGCGTCGCGCCAGGCCGCGTCAGCCTTCCGCGCGCTCCGCCGCCGAGCCCTGGGCACTGAACGCGGCCTGAGTCCGAACCTCTCCTGCTGGAGCGCTGCCTTGAACATGGGCTCGGGTACCACCTGGAAGGCACGCGCGAGATGCTCGGGCGCTGACAACATGGCGGGCCCAGTGGTGACACTCCCAGGCTTAAGGATGGGCCGCGGGGATTCCGATCTCTCGGGGCCAGGGCTGCTCTCTGCAAAGGAAATATCTGTCGTCTTCGGGGATTTCAACCTCGGAACATGGAGCTTCACTGTCCTGGAACATTGGCTGCACCGTCGATCTGCTTTCTCCAGGAGGTCGTGCCATTCGCTCCCTCCACAGCCGCGGCAGCGGCTCCAGGATTGAGAAACAAAACTTGACATGATTGATCGCAATGCCCTTCTGAGTCAACCGAGAGGTACGGTAGCGGATATGCCCTGCACCGCTCGGTGTCCCTCAAGGGCCACGTGGAGGCGAGGACTGGTCGAGGGCATAAGGTTTCTCGTGCCGAGAACTTGAGGGGGAGGGAGGGAGGAGGAGGGGAGGGGGGAGGGAGGAGGGAGGGAGGGAGGGAGGGAGGGAGGGAGGAGGGGGGAGGGAGGGAGGGAGGGAGGGGAGGGAGGAAGGAGGAGGAGGGAGGAGGAGGAGGAGGAGAGGAGGAGGAGGAGAGGAGGAGGGAGGAGAAGGAGGAGGAGGAGGAGGCGGACGAGGGGAGGAGGAGGAGGCGGAGGAGGAAGGAGGAGGAGGGGGAAGGAGGAGGGAAAAAGGAGGAGGAGGACGAGGAGGAGGAGGAGGAGGAGGAGGGCGGAGGAGGAGAAGCGAGGAGTTAGTTGGAGGAGAAGGAGCTGGCGCAGGAGGCCTCCTCCCTCTCCCCATCCCCGCCGCCGAGAGAGCCCCCCGCCCCCCCCCCCGCGCTCGCAGGACGACGAGCTGTCGTACGCCCTCGGCAAGCAGGGCAGTACCCGGAAGAAGCTTGAGAGGTCGTCGGGGGCGATCGTGCAGTACATCCGGCGGGCCTCGCGGCGATCCGCCGCCACCCCCGTCGACCTTCGAGGTTCGCCTCCCCTTCGCCGTGCCCAGGCACTCCATGCGGAACTCTGGGGGCCCTCGCGTGCTCGAGAGGTCGTCGGGGGCGATCGTGCAGTACACCTAGCTAGCCTCGCGGCGAGGCGCCGCCACCTCTCCTCGACCTTCGCGATTCGCGCATTTTTGCTGCGTGTTTTGCCTTGTCTTGGCCTCTGGGGGTTTCTCGTCGCCACGGCTGGGTCCGCCTCGAAATTCTGGCCATCACGCATCCCAGGACCGGTTTGGAAGGCGATCGTGCAGTGCATCCAGCGAGCCTCGTGGCGAGCCGGGGTCCCCTCGCTCGGGTCTGGAACTTTTTTCGGAGGGGGGAAAACGTCACATCGGTTCCAGAGCTTTCTCTCGCAGTTCCCGGGCTCCCGGGGCCTTCCACTGGCCGCGGGGCCGTCACAAACGATTCAGGATGAGGAGTTGGTCTCGGGGGAAGGCCCCACGGTCCAGTACTTGTTCCCCGCATGACCCGTTTTTTCGCGCGAAGCCCCTAGTTTTTGTCTGCGTCGTCTCCGTTGTCGTCGTCGTCCTCCTCCACCTTCCTTCCACCTTCTTTTCCTCCTCCTCATCCTCAACCCTCCCTGTCCTCCTCCTCCTCCTATTCCTCTCCCTTTTTGCCCCTCTTCAGTCCTCCTGATCCTCCGCAACCCCTCCCCCTCCTCCTCATCCCTCTCGTCCTCCTCGTCCTCGTCCTCCTCCTCCTGCCCCTCCTCCTCCTCCTTCTCCTCCTCCTCCTCCTCCTCCTCCTCCTCCTCCTCCTCCTCCTCCTCCCCTTTCTCCTCCCTCGTCGTCGTCGTCGTCGTCGTCGTCGTCCTCCTTCTCCTCCTTCTCCTCCTCCTCCTCTGCTCTTCCTCCTCCTCCTCCTACTCCTCTCTCCTCCTCCTCCTCCTCCTCCTCCTCCCCCTCTTCCTCTTCCTCCTCCCCCTTCCTCCTCCTCCTCCTCCTCCTCCTCCTCACCTCCTTCCTCTGCTCCTCCTCCTCCTCGTCCTCGTCCATGTCTTCGTCGTCGTCGTCGTCGTCGTCGTCCTCCTCCTTTCTCCTCCTCCTCCTCCTCCTCCTCCTCTCCTCTCCTCCTCCTCCTCCTCCTCCTCATCTCCTCCTCCTCCTCCCCCCCCCCATCCCCGCCAGCCCAACGCGCAGTTTCTCCCCCCAAGGCCGGGGGGTCGTCGGATAGGCCACACCGCGCTGTTCTCTGGCCCCAAGAAGGACTCGTCCCCCTATCGTGCTCAGATGGCTCTCGCTGCTGCTGCTGCTGCTCCTGCCCCTCCTCCGTCTGCATGTGTTTGTGTGTGTGTGTGTGTGTGTGTGTGTGTGTGTGTGTGTGTCTCTCTCTCTCTCTCTCTCTTTTTCTCGTTTTTCTGTTTTGTTTCTCTCTCTCTCTCTCGCTGTCCCTGTCTCGGTCTCTTTCTCTCTCTCTCTCTCTTTCTCTCTGTCTCTGTCTCTCTCCCAGTCTCAGCCTCTGTCTCTGTCTCTGCCGCTGTCTCGCTCTCTCTCTCTCTCTCTTTTCTCTTCCTCTCTCTGTTTCTCGATCTGTAGATGTATCTGTCTCTGTCTCTCCCTCTTTCTCCCTCGCCGCTGCTGAGCCACCGTCAGGCAGCAGTAGTGCCGAGGTCTGAGCGTGCAGCGGAGCGCCGGCCGAACGATGGGGCGGGCGAGGTGAAGACTGCCCGCCTCCAAGCGACGCAGCACATTGTCGATACTCTCCTATCTTCGGGCGGACTGGAAAGAGGCTCGGCAAGGTGCTGCTCGCGTGGAGTCCTTGCTTGGGCCCTCCGGGAATCCCTGCGGAAATCGCCTGGCCGGTCTCCTGAGCGGGATGGATTCCGAGGGGCCTCCCCGCTGCGGGGAACGGCAGGGCGCCGACTCCGCCCCTTCGTCGGGGGCGCCGCGGAGCGTCTCGGGCAGCAGAGGAAGCTCCACGCAAAAGCCCACAGGAGGACGCGCGGATCAGGACGGAAACCTGCGGAATTCAGATGAAATTTGTTGACGCTTCGCGGGCCCCCACCAGCCCACAACGGGTTGCCTACCGTGCCTGGCGTGCACTTCCCCTCTTCTCCCTCGTTTCACCGGGTTTATCCCACGCGGCCGGGGTTGCCGCCAATACCGCTGTCTGATTGTGCTCAGACAGCCTGAATTCCGTGCAAATTTCACAGTGGGAACGGGCGGTCAGGTGGCCCCTGACCTGCTCCTGGCTGGTGTCGGCCTCCACTGGTGACTGGGAGGGTTCCGTGAGATCTCGCTTCGAATTCCATGTAAGGACCACACTGGGGATGGGCGGTCAGGCGGCCCCTGGCTTGCTCCTGCTTGGTGTCAGCCTCCACTGGTGACCGTTTGGGTTCCGTGGCGTCTCGCTACGCTGCCGTCCTCTTCGGTGCAAGGACTTTGGCGTGCTTTGGGCGCCCGTCGGCTGCTTTCTCCTACGTGGACTTCGCTTTCGACCTGTGCCACCAGGTGTACATACAAGAGGATCTGCAGTTTGCAGTCCTGTCTGTGACGAGGCTGCCCCCTCTTCACTCCGGCGCTGACACGATGCTGTTGTGCCACGATGTCGTCCTGGAGTGCCTGTCGGACCTGTTCGTTTTTGTCGGGCCTTATGCCGACTCACACCGGGTGATCGACCTCTGCGTGTTCATGGTCGCGCCGCCGCGCCATTTTGGCTGCGCCTACTTGATGGTCGCCACCGGGATTTCCACGCCACGGGGTTGTGAGTGCCGTTCTTGGTCATCCTTCTGAGTGGCTGCCCGCGCGCATGCTTCACTTGCCCCTCTCTTTTCTTGCTGCCTATGTCGCGGCCCGGCTAGTGTTCGGACGGCTTTCGACTTGCTTCGCGCGCCCGCAGACCGAAGAAATACCCCCACCAGCTGGAGGCGTGAACAAGTTTGCTGAGTTCCCTCCGCACGTGGGCTCGGCGTTCTTGCTCTTCGCTTTCGGCCTCTGAGCGCGCTGCGTGCTTGGCCCTTGCGATGGCGCGCGGCCGCACTGCTTGCGCTCGCGAGCAAAAAGTATCCCACCAGCCCTTTCGCACCGCCCCGAAGGATGACAACGCCCTGGCAAATGACGCGGCGCGAAATGGCAGGCTCGAGCTTTACTTGCGGGCAAGAGCCGCCGCAACCCTGGAGTTTCCAGTTCCAGACGCCGACCTCGTTGCCCTGCAGGAGGCCGGGTCAGCCTCATCGCAGCCACCCCAGCCCCTCAACGTGCCCAGCTTCACCGACGACGGGGTGCAGAGCACCGTCGGACAGGTTTTCCAGCTGGCTAGATGCACTCCCTCCCAGGACACCCTGGATAGAGGCGCCTGCAGACATGGCCTGAACGAGAGCGCCATCCAAGCCTTGCGAGCTACCGTGCAGCATCGCGTGACCATCGTGCATGGTCCTCCTTGCACCGGAAAGACCAGGTTCTCGGCATGTGCGCTTGACACGTTGGGCAGGCACACTGATGCGGGGCCAGACAGTGGCACTCACGGCGGGCTCCAACACTTCAGCCGGCCAGCCCGTCCACGCGCCAGTTGCCGCCCACCGAGCGGGCCACCTGGGTCCGGGCGCATGCTTTCCAAGCCGCTTTGTTCGCCTGGCGAGGGAGAATCGCGTCGCCCCTTCTCTGGTGGACTTGGCCCCTGGCGGACGCTACAACAGAGCCGCGGGCGCGATTCCCCGCCAGGATGGAGCGGTCTCTTCGGGCTTTCCGCTATTCTGGTTAGGCCTGCTGAAGGATGCCGAGGCCATCACGTCCACGCGCGAGGCAGCCGAGGCCCTGGAACAAAGCAGTGCGGCAAAGAGTGCCTTGCTCATCGTCGACGAGGCTTGTCAAACTACAGAGCTCCACGCTACGATGTCCCTGGTCAGTGTCATCAGGAGCGGCGGCCACCTCGTCCTGGTAGGCGACCCCGAACAGCTGCCGCCCACGGTGATCTCCAAGCTCGCCGCAGACCTGGGCCTCTGCATTTCCATCGGACAGGCTGCGCCACGCCTCGCGGGGACAGGGCGCAGCGGTCGTCCAGCTCACAGTCTGGTATCGGATGCACCCGCAGCTCCTGGCATGGCCAATCTGGGCCTTCTACAACGACGCCGTGCACAGCGGCCTGGCTTCTCCCCTGACAGATCGACCGTTAGTCGATGGCCTCCCGTGGCGACAGATCCCTGCGTGGGGCGAGGGCAGGCTGGGCGAGCTGGCGCGTCTCAACCGCTCGGACAAGGAAGACCTCCGGAGGGCCATGGGCCCCCCATGCACCCAGCAGGCGCTGAAGCGGGAGAGAGGCACATATTCCTCCTGGTAGACAACCCGTCGCTTGAGGTCACTTTCAGCACCCGCGCCGCTCATGCCAATCTCCTAGAGGCGGCGCAAGCAGTGGATGTCGTCAGAGCTCTCGCGCCTGCGATGGAAGGAGGAGTCAAGGTCCGCCCAGCGATAGGTTACCAGCTACAAACTGCCATCCTGGAGGACTGGTGGCCGCGGAGCCCTGGCAACATCGCTGGCGTGCTCTGGCAGTCCATGGGTGGCGAAGGCAAGGCTAGGGGCGGCAAGGGGCAGCCCGAGGGCGGCGGCGGCGACAGAGGAAATCGCATGGATGGCAAGGACATAAGAGATCCCCAGCCCCCGCGACCAACCTGGCAGGGCAGAACGGTGGAGCGGATGGAGAGAAATTCGAGGACCACTCGGGCTGGGAGAGGGTTTTCGATCAGGCTGATGCCACGTTCATTGGCATCAGCTCCAGCTTCTCCGGCCTGCAGCAGGTTGCGGCCGAGCGCGTCGAGTCTGGTCACCTGGTGCTCTCCGCAATTGATTCCAGCCAGGGAGGAGAGGCAGACATCGTGATCTTTCTCACCGCAAGGTCGAACGGAAAACGCGACTGGGTGTTCATGGACAACGCTAGAAAGGTCAATGTCGCCATTGCAAGGGCCACGCGCTTCGTCGTAATCATCGGTGACGGCAGGGTGTTCGCCCCCGCCGCCTGGTCGAGGCTGAGGGTACTATTCGAGTATGGGCGCTTGGCTGGTCTCTGGGTGCGGTTCAGAGATCCGCGGTGGGCAGGCAGGCGCGCCGGCCTGGCCGTCGACTCCGGCTTCGACCCCGTCGCGGATCTGGCTACCTGGGTCACTGCGCCAGTCTCCTGGGAGGACCGCGCAGACGGGGGCGAACCCAGGATGCACTTGGACAACGCCATGAAGAAGTCCCGTGGCGCCCTGGCCAGCAGCTTTGCTGACAGAATCGAGACCCTGCTCGACCCTGGCTTCAACTGGGACGCGCTGGGCACTTGCATCTCCTGAAGCCTCGACACTCTCCTGGCCACCCCCGCCTTCTCTGTCGCGCTCTACCTCGCCTCAGGGCCGCGCCCCCGCGAGTTCTCCATCGCCGACGCGCCGAGGGAACCGGGGAGATTCGACCGCAAGGCCTGGTCGCACCTCGGCTTTCTCTACGACATGTCCCGTGGCCTGGATGCAAGCAACCTTGTCTACGACAGGCCCTGGGGGCGCCTTATCTGGGTTGTGGGGCTGGGCGCCCCCAGGTCGGATCTCGACGCGGCCCTCCCAAGCGTGTCCCTGCCGTCCCCGCCCCAAGCCCGCGGGCGCAGCTACCGACCCAGGACAGACCGGCAGTGCGCGCCCAAGGACATGCCGCGGCAGGTCCCGAAGACCTACTCATGGTCGCAGCGAATCACCGCTGCCCCGCCCTGGCCAACTCGACCTTGCCAGCCTGGGGGGTCAGCGACGGAAGGTTTGGCGGCGGCGCGCGCAGGACTGGAACCTACTCGGCGAAGTGTGACACGTGCCCACCAGATGCTCCTCTCCTCGTGTGGACGGTCTCGTATCCTGCCCTGGGCTGCTTCCTGTGGAAGCCAGCGCCTAGCACCGGCATCGACGACTTTTCAGGGCCCCCCCCATGGGGCCAGTGGCTGACCGCGTGGCAGGAGCGGAAATGGAACGCCGCATGGAGCTGCAGGAGGTGCCTCCTCTACATTTGGAACGTCGCGCCGGGCACCTTGGACTTCATCCTGGATCGCGACTCCAAGAGGGTCTACCCAGTGAACCCAACCAAAAGGGCATCAGGGCACGAAGGACCACGGCGCCCCAGACGTTGCCGAACAGCTGCGCCCAGGGCTCGCCAACGCAATCGTCGAGGACGAATGCTCCAAGGAGCCAGCAGCGCGGAGCTTCTTGGGCGGCGCCAGCGCTTCCGCGGGCGGTGGCGACGGGAGCGCGCCCGGGGCCAGGGCGGTGCCGGACCTGCTCGCTCTCCTCCCTGAGCTACACCCACCAAGGTGCCCCCAGCTCAGCTCGCGATCAGTTGCTGACCTACGCCTGGCAACTGACGACGAACAGAAGCACAGTCGGACCAACGAGTTCCGCGCTGTGCAGCACCTCCTCGCCACTTACCTCCACGACTTTCACCCAGACGTCGACGCGATCTGGCGTGAGTGCGTGACAGCTGAGGGCGCGGCCATTTCCTGAGCCAAAGGATCCGGGGACCTCCTGGCCGGCAAGCCGCTCGGTCCTTTTCCTGGCCAGGATGTGCGGCAGCGAGGTTCCAGCAATGGCTCGCCGACGCTCATCTACTGGGGCGGTGAGCGCTGGGCGGCCGCCAGAGTGCTGACGCACCTCGCCAACGGCCGACGACGCAGCGAAGCCTGGCAGCAGCGCTACACCGTGGACCCAGCCCATTCCGGCACGAGCTCCCAGTGCTCGCTAGCTTCATTTTGGACCTCGACGCGAGCGCCCTCGCGGCAGCCACCATCGCAAACCTGGCGTGCCAGGGCCCAGTCACCAGCTCGGACAGCGAGGAGCCTCCGCAGACAGCAGCAGGTGCGGGGGCAGGGACATGGCTCGCTCCCAAGCAAGAGGTCGGCGAGTCATTCCGGAGCCGGCACGCAGCTCGCAACCTTGGCGGGGCGGCTCAGGGGGCGGGGCCGCCGCCCCCCCCGCGGCCTGCAGGAGGACCACAAGGCTGGCGACGCACCCGCAGACTCGGTCAGGGGCGAAGAGGAGGAGCTCGACCGACCAGGTACCGGCAGCCGACGCCGAGGTACAGGACAGCGCCAGCGGCACTACCGCGGAGAGGGATCCCTCGGTGGATTTCGACGGCCCGCGACCGGCGTCCCCAGCAGAGTCGCCGAGCGAGCGCGCAGAAGCAAACGAGGGCCCCCAGCAGCCTGGCAGCTCGTTCCCACTTTTCGCTCGAGTACAGCCACGAAGTCAAAGGTGAGGGCGCGCAAGAAGCTAAACCCGAGCCCTGGCGACGACCCTCTTAGTGCCTTCCGGCCGCGCGACCCGCCTGCGCCTTCAGCCGCAGGCGCCGCGGCGGCCGCCTGTTCCAGAGGTGATCCGCCCCCACCGAGGCGTGACAATGCCATCAGTGATGGGGGTGAGCCCGGCACCCGGGCTGAGAGCAGGCACGCAGCGCCTCCTGGCACCGACATTAGTACGCGCCCCTCGACCCCCCCTCACAGCAGCGGCGCGCGAAGGGCCTTCGACCGCCTCCTGGACCCCGTTGCCGGCAAGAGCATGTACCGTGAACACCTGGGCAACGCCAACCTGGATCGCCACAAAAAGCCCCGGGCCGAGAATATCGCGCGCCTCCAGAAACTTCCAGGAGGCACGTTCAACGGGATCTGGCACGGCTACACGCAGCAGCGCCCGAACCGAACCAGAGGAAGTCCAGCAGCAACCCCTCCCTGAACGACGAGTCCACGCGCGAGGGCTTCCTTGGCACCTGGCGCAGATGCGGCTTCGACGCTTATGCGCGATGTATCGGCCGCTGGGGCTCCATGTCGGCTGGCGTGCCGTGCGTGAGAGGCGCGTCGGGGCGACCTCTGGCAAGGGGTCCCACGAGCTCTGGCTCCGAGCGCCAGTGCTGGGATTCTTGGGAGGGGTGGCCCCAGCACGGCCCAGGGCAGTCCTGGCGCGACCATGACTGGCATGGCGGAGTCGAGAGAGGCAGACGGAACAGCGACGGCTCGGACCACGACGGCAAGCGGTCCAAGTGGACGTGATTTTCCCCCCGGCACAGTCGCTGGATGCGTCAGGAACGTCATCAGAAGGCATGGCCGTTAGCCAGGCATCTGAGACCAGAAAGTGTGGCCGTTAACCACCTCAGTGCCAGCCCCACTTCTTGGCATCACGTTCAGCGCTCCCCCTCCCTCCTCCCTCTTCGGCGTGCCAACTGACTGTGTGGCCGTTAGCCGCTTGCGTTCCCTGGCCTCGCTCCCCCCCACCTCTCCTCCTCCGCCGACCGGTTGCGGTCCCCGCGCAGCAGCTGGCTCCTTGCCCTTCGGGATCGGTCTCCATGGTGCTGTCGATACCTGGCGCGATGCCGATTGCTGGGGCGGGGCGCAGAGTGCCATCGCACGGCCCTTGCTGTTTGCTGTAGCTGTTTCCACCCTGCCCTCTTCCCGCACCTGGCCGCAGCCTGGCCTTGTATCCCTGGCGAGTGGGCCCCCTGCCGACTGGTGACGGTCCCGGCGCGGCGCCTGGCTTCGCCCCCCGCCCATGGGGATCAGGCTCCACGGCGCTGTCAATACCTGGCGCGATGCCCTTTACTGGGGCGGGGCGCCGCGTGCCACCGCGCGGCCCTTGCCGTTTGCTGTAGCTGTTTTCGCCCTGGCCCCCTCCCGCGCCCGGCCACAGCCTGGCCTGGTATTCCTGGTGAGCTGGCCCCTTCTTCGTGGCGTCACTCGATTCACGCCTGCCGCGCTGCTGGCACTTGGCCTGGGATATTCTCAGCCTTCAGCTGCTTGCTGCGCTGCCCCTCCTGGCGCCGTCCCCCCAAACGATCCCGAGACGACGAGCAAAACCCCGAAATGATCCAAACGAAGTCCCCAAAGATACTCAAGGAATTTCTCGTCGACCCCCTCCTGTGGCGAGCGGTGGCCTGGCGCGCGGAGCCCATCTTGGAGCGAGCCCAGACCTCTGCGTGAAAGGTCGCGGGAGCCGAGCCGCCGCCGAGGGCGACGCACGTGGGACAGCCCCGCGCGAGGCCTCCGCGCACGCGAGCAGAGCCAGAGCACGCACTTGGGCGCGCAGGGAGGCGCCGCCCCAGTCGCGGGCAGCGGGCCCCCCTTCGCGAGGGATCCCGCGGCGGTGCCCCGCGCCGCTGCGACGCAGCTGCTCCGCGGCGGCGCGCGCGCCACGGGGCCCGTCGCGCAGCGAGGCGGCGCCCTGGTCTTAAGTGGGGCCTGTCCCCCTACAGGGGGATTTTGGGCGAAAAATTAACAAACAAATCGTCACCAGACAATTTTTTAACTATTTTTGAATATTCCCCCTGTAGGGGGACAGGCCCGACTTAACCCTGGTCGCGGAGCGAGAACTCGACCGCCCCAGTCTGCAGAGCGAGCCTCCCGCCGAGGAGGCGCAGGACAGCCCCTCCTCTCGGAGGAGGGGGCCGCGCGCGGGGGCGCGGGCCGCGCGAGCGCGCACGGGAGGCAGCCTGCCCACCTCTTCCACGGCCCGGAGAAGGGGTCGTGCTGCCTGCGCGCGACTGCTGGAAGGCCCGCTCGCTCTCGCTCTCCCTCTCGCTCTTCTTGCGGCTGCTCCTCGACCTGCTGCTGTTCCTCCGGCTCCTGCTGCTGCTGCTCCTCCTCCCGCTCCCCTCCCACTCGTTCGCCTCCCTCCGTTCGCCTCCCTTCTCTTCTTCCTCATCATCCCTCCTCCCTTCCACTCCCCCTCTTCTGCTCTTTCCGCTGCTGTTGCTGCTCCTCCACCTTCTCCGGCTCCTTTTCCTGCCCTGCCCGCTCCTGCTGCTGCTGCTCCCCTTGCGGATCCCTCTGCTGCTGCTTCTCTCCTTTTGGCGCCAAGGAGAGGCGCCGCGCCAAAGAGTACATCAAGTGGCTCTTCTTGCAGCTTGAGGGCCGCCCCATCCAACCTCCAAAACACCCTCTGCCCTGGAGGATGCGGACGCTGGTGAGATGCGGGTCGATGAGATGGAGCAGGTGGCCGAGGGGTTGGTGCGTCATGATGAGGGCGGGGACGATGATTATGCTGATGATGATGCTGATGATGATGCTGCTGCTGATGCTGTTGCTGATGCTTATGCTGATTCTGATGATGGTGATTGTGATGATGGTGAAACTGATGGTGCTGCTGCTGCTGATGATGATACTGCTGATGATGGTGCTGGTGATGATGATGGCGATTGTGATGGTAATGGTGATGCTGATTATGGTGGTGTGGTGATAATGATGGTGATGGTGATGGTGATGGTGATTGTGATGATGCTGGCGACGCTGATGATGCTGCTGCTGATGATGCTGATAATGCTGATGCTAATGATGATGATGATGATGATGATGATGGTGCTGCTCATGATGATGATGCTGATGCTGGGGATGATGCTGATGATGATTGTGCTGATGATGATGCTGATGATGATGCTGATGATGCTGATGATGATTATGATGGTGATGATGATGGTAATGTTGGTGCTGCTTATGGTGATGAGTATGATGCTGATGATGATGTTGATGACGCTGATGATGATGCTTATGATGATGCTGATGATGATGATGATGATGATGATGATGATGATGATGATGCTGCGGATGCTAATGATGATGCTGGTGGTGATACTGATGATGATGCTGATGATGATGATTATGATGATGCTGATGCTGACGCTGCTGCTGATGCTGATGCTGATGCTGATGACGATGATTCTGATGCTGATGCTGGTGCTGCTGCTATTGATGATGATGCTGCTGATGATGCTGATGATGATGCTGCTGATGATGATGACGTTGATGACGTTGATGACGTTGATGACGTTGATAATGATGATGATGATGATGATGATGATGATGATGATGATGATGATGATGATGATGATGATGATGATGATGCTGATGCTGATGATGCTGATGATGATGATGCTGATGATGATGATGATGATGATGATGATGATGATTATGATGCTGCTGCAGATGATGCTGATGATGATGATGATGAGGATGATGATGTTGGTGACGACGATGGTGCTGATGATGATGATGCTGATGATGATGATGCTGCTGATGATTTGATGCTGATGTTTGATGATTGTGGTGATGATGATGCTGATGATGATGATGCTGATGCTGCTGCTGATGATGATGATGCTGATGATGCTGATGCTGCTGCTGATGATGATGATGATGATTATGATGATGCTGCTGCTGATGATGATGATGCTGATGATGATGAAGATGATGCTGATGATGATGATGATGATGATGATGACGACGAGTTTGAAGATGATGATGATGATGATGATGATGATGATGATGATGATGATGATTATGATGCTTATGATGGTGGTGATGTTTATGATTATTATGAGGATGAAGAGGAGGAGGAGGAGGAGGAGGAGGAGGAGGAGGAGGAAGAGGACGATAATGATGATGATGATGATGATGATGATGATGATGATGATGATGATGATGATGATGATGATGATGATGATGATGATGATGATGATGATGATGATGATGATGATGATGATGATGCTGAGATGATGATGATGATGATGATGATGATGATGATGCTGATGATGATGATGATGATGATGATGATGATGATGATGATGATGATGATGATGATGATGATGATGATGATGATGATGATGATGATGATGATGATGATGATGATGATGATGATGATGATGATGATGATGATGATGATGATGATGATGATGATGATTGGAGAATGAGGTCTCTGAAATGTTACTTAATGTGAAGTGAGTGCGATCTCCCCCTTCGTAGTTTTTTCTGGGCTCAACACCCAGGCATCATGTTTTTCTTCTAATGAAACGAAGTCTTTGGGGCTTGGGCCCCCCAGCGTAGCACGAACATGGTTCTTTCTCCAGTACCCTCGGAGCCCGAGGGGCCTGTATCGCCGCCAGGAAGCCCAAGCAGATGGTGGGCGCTCGGCTGGGCAGGAGCGACGTTGCTGACGGTCTGCTTCCTTGCCGACGGCGCCCTGAAGGCGGACTCAGGCCGCGCTGCCGTTCAACGTCTAGGGCTGGCCGTCCTTGCGGGCTCAGCGGGGAGCGGCCTCACCTTGTGGCGCGCGGGCCTGCTGGGATGGTGCTGCCGTCGCCAGGACGACAGCGACGAGCTGGAGCGCCTGCGGAGCCAGCTGGCCGCGCTACAGCTCGCTAAGCTCGAGCCGCCTGCCGCCCCGTCAGAAGGTGGCGAGCCGAGCGGCCCCGCAGCTGGCGCGGGCGTGGGCGGGGCTCTCGGCTTGCCGCCCCCGCCGCCTTTCGCCATCGGGCCACCGCCCGCCGCCGCGCCAGGGATGTGGGCGGCGCCTCCCTCAGGGGCGCCAGACGGCGGGCTCGCCGCCTTCCACGCCTTCGGCGCTGGAGGATGTCTCGGAGGACCGATCTCTTGCAGCCAGGGCGGGGCCCCCGCCGGTGCAGGCCCGGCCGCCACGAGCGGCGCGGCTGTGCCAGGCGGACCCGCAACTGGCACAGGCGGCGACGCCGACGCAGGAGGTCAGCCGGCGGGCGCGGCGGCGGCCGCGAGCCCGCCCCCATCGGGGGCCAGCGCTTGCGCCGCCGCCATCAGGACAGAGCTCGAGAGCTACGCGGCCACGAGCTCGACCGACCCGTGGTGGGGCGCGCGCTTCTGGCAGAGGGTCCACCAGCGCGAGCAGGCGGGCTTGCTGGACGCGGGCGTGAAGGCGGCGCTGGTGGCGCGGGGCTACTCGGGAGAGGCGTCGATCGGGGCGCCGGACGTGGACAGCGTGAAGGCGGTGCTGAAGGGCTTCGAGACGGCGCCCGTGCAGTTCTCGGGCGGCTTCGTGGGCGGCGGGCTCGCGGCCTCGACCTCCGTCGAGGGCTGGGCCCACAGCCTGCCGCCCGACTTCAGGCGAGCAGGTGGCGAGATCTATCGGAACATCAGAGCGTCAGGGTCTACGTCGGTGAGGAACTGGCTGGCTCAGCAACACGTGGGCTCCAAGCGAGGCGAGGAGTGGCAGTCCCTGTGGGCGACGGCCACCGCGGTGGACTTCGCGCTGGGCGACTGCAAGGACGACGTGAGCCTCTACGCGAAGCTGAACTCAGACGATCAGGTGGAGGTCGCCCTGCGCCATCTCTCGGCCTACGTGTACGAGAGCCGCGCGCGTGACAGCGTGGGCGCGGCGCGTCTCCGCGCAGTGGTGGCGCCTGGCTCGGCGGTGGACATCGCGCCGAACTGGCTGATCTCCGAGGCGACGACACACTCGAAGATGGAGCACCAGCGCGAGGAACGCATCAGCTCGGAGATCAGGCGACGCCAGCACGCCAACAAGGGTGACTTGAAGGGCTCGAAGGGCACGCCCAAGGGGGGGGCTCCCCCCAAGGGCAAGTCGAGCCATTGACCCCCGCCGAGGACGGAGGTGCCTTGGCAGCCGGGGGCACCTCCGAGGCGAATCATCACTTTACGGCTGCGAGGTGGACGAGGGGACGGAGGCGTGTGGGTGCCAGTACACCGGGATGGAGCTGCATGCCAGAGCGGGCCGCGGACGTGCTCACGACCACCGCCCTCTCGCCCGACGATAGCGAGAACCAGCCCCTTTCCCGACCTTGCCGACATTCACCTCCTACTTCAGGAGCGACGTGGCCTCCTCCCGTTGCCCCTGCTGCCCTGGCCGAGCACGCGACCAGCGTCGTCGTCGGGCAGGCTGCGACAGAGGGAGGCGAAGCGGCGAGAGATACACAAGCTGGCCAACCAGGTGTTGGAGACCTGGAACCGAGTTCACGCTGGAGGCTTGAAGCAGCAGGCGAGCCGCAACGTCGAGCGTCGAGATCTTAGAGCAAGCGACGGAGCGGCAGGACAAGCTCAACTCAGGGCGATCAGGTTGGCCCAGGAGCTTGTCAGCGCTCGCCGGCCAGGAATGGTGACAGGCGTGCGAGCTATCAGCGAGCTGCTCAAACTCAGCGAAGTCACCTACTCGGGGACCTGCGAGCGACAGGTGCACGCTACGTTCATTGCGGACCGCATCGACGAGGTGACCACCGAGCGGACCGTGGACATGCTGGAGGCCCTGCCGATTGCGGAGTCCCAGTTCTACGCTGAGGAGAGCAACGTGGTGGATTGGAGCGGCAAGAGCGAGCAGCTGCTGCGGGAGCTGGAGCAGCACTACGGTTTCTTGGGAGGCTCGCAGGAGGAGTGGGCCAAGTACTTATGCCGCCAGCACCTCCCACCACGTCTATGGACCTACATGCGCCGCGCCGACATTAAGGCCATCAGCGGCGTCAGCGCGGTCCCCAAGAAAGATCCCGAGAAGCTCAGAAAGTTCATCATGGCGGCCCCTGCGAACTATATTCGGTGTGATGTCCGTGCTCGAGAGGACCATGGTCTAGGCGGTGGAGGCGCTCTCTCTCAGATACGCGTGATGGAAGGCTCCCTGCACCTCGCCCGCTGCGACGAGTCGAATGCCTTCTCGTCGGTCGTGACCCCGTCGTGGTGGTGGCCCTGGATGGCTACTCCCGCGCTGCCCGCCGCCTTGGTGCGCAGCCAGCTCCCGCCGGAGCTAGAGGACGTCCCCGACTACGAGATGGTTTACCCGTGCTACCAGCGGCTGCCGATGGGGAGCTCCCACTCTGTGCACATCCTGATGGCGATCAACGTGCGGAGCTTGGGCGAGACGCTGAATTTCAACAGGAAGCTGGCCGAGTCCGAGCTGGCCAACTTCAAGAAGCACGCGGACTTGACCGACGAGGTGGAGGTACACGACCATGAGTGGGTTGACTTGCAGCGCAACCGGCGCAGCGCGGACCGACTCGAGTCGGGCTTCACGGTCGCAGAGTTCTGCGAGAAGGTGCGCTACTTCAAGAGGTCAGCTCAGAGGATCATGGTAGTGGTCCACATCTTTGCAGGAGGCCGCCGCCTGG